TCTACAGAGAATTCCAACACAACTTCCCTGAACAGTCCAGTCTACGTCTCCACATGGAGATCAAGCTTCTAAAAATTAATGTATTGAAAACTACACTCGTAAAACAGTAGTGGTGGTGGTGTTGACCATCAAGTCAGACTTGACCTTAAGCTGACCCTCCAGCCGGTTTTTGGAGGCAGTTACTCGTTCAGGAGGAGACTGTCAATCCTTCTCCCGCAGGGCAGCTAGTGGGTCAAAACTACATGCCTTCAGGATTGCAAGTGTAGCTTCTTTCCACTAGGCCACCATAGGGCTCTATGCTGTAGCTAGCTCTAAAAACAATAGGCTTAGTTTTTCCACACAACAGAAAATCTAAGAATTTGGCCTTCAATATGGATTGCATCTCAATGTAAAAGAAAACAAGGATTCTTACCACTGGACCAATAGGCAACATCATGATGGATGGAGAAGAGATTAAAACTTCATCTTACTTGGATCCACAATTAACACCCTTGCAGTCAGGTTATCAGGAGATGTATTGCACTGGCAAAGTCTGCAGTTAGGGACCTCTCCAAATTATTGAGGAGTAATTATGTCAGTTTGAGGACTAAGATGCATCTGATTCAGGCCATGGTCTTTCCAATCACTTGCTATGCATCTGAGAGCTGGATAATGAATAAGGATGACAGAAGAAGAATTGATGCCTTTGAGCTGTGATGTTGGAGAAGAGCATTGAATAACCCATGGATGGCCAAGAGAACAAACAGATATGCCTCGGAGAGGGTGCAGCGGGAGTGCTCTTCAGAGGCAGGAATGATGAGCCTTCACCTCACATACTTTGGACATGTTGCGAGGAGGGGCTATTCCTTGAAGAAGGACATGATGCTGGGAAGGGTGGAGGGTCAGCTAAGGAAAGGAAGACCCTCCACCAGGTGGACTGACACGGTGACTGCTGCAGTGGGCTCTTGTGTGTCAGGAAGTGTGAGGATGGCAGAGGATAGAACAGGGTTCACATCTTTTGTTCATAGGCTCGCTATGAGTTGTACTCAACTCAACAACACCTAACAACAACAATAGATGAATAACTAAACAAAATGTGGCTCCCCCATGCAATGGAATATTCATCTGCAATGAAGTGAAATGAAATCCAGGTGTATGCTATGTCAGGGATGAAACAAGCTAACATGTTGACGAATGAATCCAGACACATAATAAGAAAAACTATCAACCTCGTTAGAAATTGGGAGTTACTACAAAAGTAGCCTGGAATTTCTGTATGGAATGACAAAAAACTTCTGGAATAAACAGTAGTGATAATTGCACAAATGGTTATTAATATCCCTAAACTGTAAAAGTAAATACATTTAGTGGCAAATGTTATTTATATATTTATATGTATTTTTTTCACCAAAATTTTTTATAACATATATAAATAACATATTTTTTTAAAAACCTACAAAACTCAAGGGAGCTCTGGTGGCCTAGTGGCAAGACGGTGCACTGCAATCCCAGAGGTATGCGGTTCAAATCTACCAGATGCTCTGCTGGAGAAGGAGGGGGTAATCTCCTCCTGTACCAGTCAGATCTGATTTGACGGGACACGTAAAAATAATACAATAAAAGTTAAAAAAGGGGGGGAACCTACAAAACTCAAAACACCAATTCACCAAGCTCCTACACCTGCCCTACCTACAACCATCCTGTTTCAGGCATATACCTCCATCTTTCCAGTTCAGAGTCATAGTCAATTTCTCATTTCTTTTTAACTCCCACATGAGGACCTGTCCACACTTATGCTGGCCACAAGCACTCTACTGCAGCTACTGATTGAGTCCTGCAGCCTACTGCACGTCCTCTGCCGCCCTCTGAAGTTCCCTTCTGAGCATGTGTCCATCATTTGCAGCAACACCCTGGTCCTCCTTCACCTAGAATTAGGACAGAGCCCCATTGCTTCTGCTCTGGGATTTAGTTCTGCAGGATCTGCCCCTTTCTCCTCTCCTGCCTTTATCTATTGCTACTTCTCCCTTACACACCCATGTACTGTGGCAGCTGGCTTGACTCTTGCGTCTCCCACTGCAGCCTCATGCCCTTTTCACAGCCTAGATCTATCCCCCATCCACTGCTTGGCTTCCCTCAGTACCCTCTGACCCCCCTGCTCTCACCATCAGTTATCCCATTAGCTACACCTCGATCTGGCCAGCAGCTGTGTCCTACACAGGAATGTGGGTTGAGAGAGAGCAGGTATCTGTGGCTCCAGCCCTGGATGTCACAGGACATATGTCGGTGCTCAGTACAGTGTGTGTGGGATGGAAGCAGCAATGGCTCTAAACCCACCCACACATCTCAAGCCCTTCCACACAGACCTAGCACGAAGCTCCTGGACAGGCCCTATTGTGGTCTCAGAGACAGGACATCAGGCCCAGAGGAAAAGCCTTAAGGGGTGGCCAGTACAGTTGGTGGTAGTGGGGATGCTTAGAGCCCATGTTAAGGACAGAAAACAATAGTGAAGCCCTGAGGGGAGGCAGACAGAACTAGTCACCCTGCCGACAGGTCCCATCCACCTGGCTTCTGAGGAGGAGCTACTTTCCCCTTGGGGCACCAGAACAGAGAGCTCAGAGCAGGACAGGGTACCAAGGAGCCAACCTGAGGCAGGCTCCTAAGCAAGGGTGGGGTCTCAGCAGGGAAGGAGGAGGTTCAGAGGGAGCTCTGAAACCAGCGCCCTGAGAAACCCAACCCCCGCGATGCCATCTTAGGATTGAGGGATAGTTTAGTTAAAAAAGTCTGTCTTAGCATCACGCTCTTTTAAGGGTTATCTACATGGATTAAATTCACAACCACTGGCAACATTAGATAAGAACCTATAGGAAAGAGGATGTGTGTTAACGGGGGAGGGACAGCTCAGGAAAGCAGAGTGTTACCAGTGCCACTGCATTAAACTGGACAAAAAGTTGAAGCAGTGAATGCTTTGTTTGTATACAATGAAAAAATGAAACAAATACAATTTAAAGGGAAAATGGGGGTGTGATGAAGGAGGCCACAGGAGAGGGCCTTGGCTGCAGGGGACACTGTCCTCTAGAGTGGAGGTCGTGGCAGCCAGCAGGCCACACAGGAATTCCCTCCCATTTCTTCTGGGGACAGTGGCCACAGATAGTGGGCCCAGGAGCAGGGACACAGCTCTAACATTATCTACTCCTCCCCACTATTAAGGTCTGGTTTGAGCCATGACTTGAACCAGCTTGCACAAGGGGACCCTGTGGTGAGCTCGGAAGGATAGCGTGCCAAGTGCAGGGGACCTGGAACACTTGGGAGGACCTGACTCCACTGGAGGCCCACACTGCCCTCAGCACTCCTCTCCTTTCCTCTCCACCATTTGCCCTCAGCTTCCCATGTACCGAAGAGACTGGATGGCTCAGGTATGGAGGGCTAAAACCTTCCCAAAGCCTGAGAACCCCGAGGCTGCCTGTCCTGGGCCTGGCTTGGCCTGCCTGGGGCTTGGGCAAGGTGGTGACCTCTGAATGCCAGAGGCCAGCAAGGATCTTAAGCCAGCAAAGAGGGAGCACAGGGGCCTAGGTAATTGCGCCTGGGCCGCATGTGTGCTCCACGTTGGGGACACTGGGCTATCAGGCAGAGGCCGGGGGGCACAGCTGTCACTCTCCCTGCCAGGCGCCCCCAGGGTGGGGGAGGGGGCCGAAGGATCCACCCCAGTGCAAGCAAGGCCTTCCGAATGGTCCCCTTGGGAGCTCACGGCCGCAGGACCCATGTGTCAGCGCTCTGATCATAGGGGGGCTGGAGGTCTGGAGGGCAGGGAAATCCACGGAGAGGGAGGGAAGTGGGCAGAGGCTGGGAGACAAGGGGATCAAAAAAGGAGGCCTGTGTGAAAGGCGTCAAAGGAATGGGACCAGAGAGGAAAGTGCTGAGACAGGGGAATGCAATAGTAAGGGAAGGAGACAGAGAGCTGGGGGGCAGACAACAGGGCGAGTGAGCTGCGGGAGGAAAACAGACAAAATGTGGACAGAGTTGTGGGGGGTGGGGAGAGGGCCTGAGAGGAGGTGGCCAGAGCTCGCGAGGGGGCAGTGCCTGGCACGTCCCGCAGGCGCCCCGAGGGTCCGTCCGGTAATTAGGCCTTAGTCCAGATGGGCACCCACGGTCCCGCAATCAAAATGCTAATTGGCCCCGCGCCTCCGGCTGCGCCTCTGCCCTGCCCTCCTGGGAGCGCGCAGGGGGCGAGTGCACCGCCTAGCAGACCCCCGCCCAGCGCCCCCCGCCCTGGGCCTCGCCGGCTGTGTCTCGAAGATAAGGGGGCGGCCGCGCCCCCCTTCGCCTCTGGGAGCGCGTACAACGCGAGATGGACATCCCGGTGTCCGGCGCACAAAGCCTGCCGTCCCCGCCGCACACCACCTTGCTCTGGGCACCGGCAAGCATGAGCAGGGGCGGGCGCGCGGACGCAGCTCAGCTCCTGAGGCGCTGACCGGTGTCCGGTGTCCGCAGAGCCCCGCACAAGGTCATAGCGAACGCGAGCGCGACCCCCCGCGCCGCGCGACCCCTCTCAGCCCCGCCCGTGGCCGCCACGACCTGGGTCCCCAGCGACGGCACTGCGCCGCGGGTGCTCCTCGAGCATGAAGGGTCGGACGTCCGGACAGGGAGAGGCGAGGGGACAATGGCGGCTCCGGCCCCTAATTGGGGACATATGTCCCCGCGCACAGCCATTGTGCGCCCGGAGCCCCCCGCGCTCCCGCGCGCCGCTATTGGCCGCTAGGCCTGACGTCATGGGGGCTGCAAACTCGGGGCGGGCGGCCGCGAGAAGGGTTATTCGCCTGGTTGCCGGGCCGCCGAGGGACTGCAGTAGCGCGGAAGGGCATATAACCACAGAAGACGGCCAATTTCAGGGGAAGGGACATGGTAACCCTTCTCTGCTCCTACACTGGTCTGTCGACGAAGCCTCAGAGCTTGGCAGCCACCTCCCGGGAGCGGGGTTCCTGAGAGGACCCTAAAGCGGGCACAGGGTCAGTCCAGGTGACCGGATGGCAAGGAGATATTGCGGCACAGTGCACGCGCGGCATTTCCACGCTGCGCTTTCGCTGCCTCCCTGCCCGCCCCCGCAGATCTCACGTCTCCAGTCCCGCATCGAGGCAGGCCCAGACCCAGCTAGGTAGGGGCTGAGGAGCCGCTCTGCCTTCCTCTCCCAAAGATCCCAAGTCACGGGCGCACGGGTTTCAAGCTGCTTCCTCGCTCGCCCCACGCCAGACAAGACCGCGGCCCGCTAGGCGTCCTCGGCCCGTTGGGGCGCGCAGGGAACTCCCCATCTGCAGGGCCGCGGCATCCCCGCGACCCCTCCCAGGAGAGCAAGGCCGGCCCGGTCCTGCGCAACCATTTCCGCCGGCCTCTCCCCTTCCTCCGCCCCCTCACCCCCCCCACCACCATCCTGGGCTTTAAAAGCCAGAGACTGGGCCCGGCCGCAGGCAGAGGCGGCCACGGGCGCAGAGGCCCGCCCGGAGCTGTCCGAGCCCCGAGCCCCGCCCCCGGAGCC